ACATGTCAAAGAACATAAATTAAGAACATATATGGGATCTTTTTTTACCCTTAACATTATCAGAATATTACAACACCCTTGAGGTTGAGGAAAAGTTTAGAAGGATGAAAGAAATATGGAAGAACTATGGTAAAGATGTGCAAACAAAATATGCAAGGGAGAAGTGAGAGATTGTTGATAAGAATAAAGCAAGAGAAATATATAAGAGTTTTCACTATGTTCCTCCTCCTCCACGAGAAGGTAAAAGTCTTTATTTATAGACAAGAGAGATACATTGTATGCAAGGCTCATAAATGAGTCATTTAAGACATGACTAGACTTTTTGACCTTTTGACTTTTTTTTTTCACATTTATTTGCCTACAATACTTGACTTTTACAAATCATACGAAAGATATTACACTGAGTTGGCAAACTGCCATTTAGTCCATGACTATTTTACATAAAGGACACAACTTTTATTTTAAGACACACAGAGCTTTAATCGTCTGACAGGTTGGTAACATGCCACGAGTCTTCATCTTGGAAATCGAGACAACCCATTGATTGAATCCAGTCAGTAGGGATTTGTCGAGAAGATGTATCTGGATGAGTATCCGAAGAAATGTCTGGAAACTGAGATGTCTGCGTTGTAGAGGTACTTGGTGCATGCATGTACTGTTGTCACCTGGATTTATGAAGATAGTAATTACAAGACTACTACAGCTCTTCTTCCTGCACAACATCTGGCTGTGAGTCTAGGTACCACCATTTTGGATAATCTGAAGTGGCATTGAATTGAGCAGTGATGGAACGTATGCATGTTTGTTTGGCTTGAAGTAATTTCTCAGTGTAGTTTGGAGGAAAGAGTTCCCACGAAGCATCATCGCAAAAGGATAACCATATTTCGTCTGGAATTATCTGATTTTTTTCAAAAAGGATTTTTTGAATTGATCTAGTCTCAACAAGATGGTCAAACATATTATGGACGAGGTCATATGGATAAGATCGATGAAATGTGACTTGATGCTGTAAAAAATATAGGCCATCGGATCTGATGGAGTGATGTTTGTGGAAAAACATGATAGACCATGCCATTTTGGTAGACATAGGACCTTTGTATCGGGCAAGCTGATGAGCAAACACAGATTTCCATTTTTCTAAGGTTTTGAACCATTTAAGAAAAGTCATCAAAGAGTGTAATTCAGAGGTTGAGGATGACTGATATTGGGAAATTATTTTCAACACATGATGGACTGGGAATTGAATGGCAATGTGGTAATGGTGTAACATATACCAAAAGAACCATAATAATTCTTCTGGAAATATGATATCAAGACCTAGAGGTAAGCAAAATATTTTTGAAAAGGGGTAATTTGGATGGACACCTAACATATCATACATGGATTGTCCACATTTTTCAATGCATTGAATCTGATAAGAAAACATGAGGGTGGTAGCATTTTCATCAATGGTATGAGTTCGAACAAGGTCATCGAATTTAGTAGGTACGTCTGGAGTATGGTTTGGTGAAGAAGATGATGAACAGGAACTAGACTGGGTTAATGGTTGGAACATAAAACAAGGAAGAGGTTTGGATCTAGGGTTCATGAAACCGACTTGTTTAGTTTTAGGTCTGGATAAATAATCTGCAATGGTGTTGGTGTGACCTTTAATGTGCTGGACGGTGAATGAATATTTGCTGAACCATTTTGCCCATCGAAGTAATTGTTGATGCGGAACCTTTTTCTTGTTGAATCGAAGTATTTGATCAAAAGACTTCATATCTGTTTTAACAAAGAAGTGATGTCCAACAAGATGGAATTCAAACCTTTCAATGGCATTTTTTACGGCTAACACTTCCTTGAAAGTAGAATGATAATGATGCTGGTGTGGTCTGAATTGTCCACTCTGGTATCCACACATCTGGCATACTTTGTCATCATCTTGTTCAAAAAGCACTGCACCCTAATGAGTGTCACTAGCATCCGTCTGAAGAATTCGTTTCCCAGAAGAAGGAATCTTCAACAGCTATGTATGAAAGGATTTGCGTTTAAGACTCTTGACTGCATTTTTTTGCTATTCAGACCACGAAGGAGGATTCTTCTTAAGCATCTAGGAAAGTGGAGTAGTGAGACGAGAAATGATGGGAATAAAACTGGGCATGTAATTGGCAATTCCCAAGAATTGTTGTATTTCTTTCTTGGTTGTGAGAACATTTGGGAATTTTTGCAACTCATTAGCAATATGAGGCTGAAGATCATACTTGCCGTCAATAATCACCATACCAAGAAAATCAATCTTTGTCTGCCCTAACTGCATTTTCTTCTCAAAGAGCATAAAATCATAAGTGTGTATGATATCAGCAAATTCACAAAGAAGATGTATATAAGATTCCTCATCTTTTGAATTCATGAAGAAGACGTGTATGAGATTCCTCATCTTTTGAAAAGAGAAGGATATCATCAATATAAATGAGACATGTATGAAGAAGGTGAGCAAAAATCTTCATCATGGCTTTTTGAAACAGGGAAGAGGCGACTTTAAGTCCAAAAGGCATGACCGTCCACTGGTAGTGTTGATTGGGAATGTAGAAAGCAGTCTTATGACGATCATCAGGATGAATGTCAAGTTGCCAGAATCCAACTTTGAGGTCAAATTTGGAAAACATCTTTGCATTATGCAGATTTGCAAAGAGAACTTGTTTGGAAGGCAAAGGAAATTTATCATCACGGAGAAAGAAATTCAATTATTATCATCACGGAGAAAGAAATTCAATGGCTAATAATTGATAACAAGTCTGAGTTTTCCTCTGGCTTGTTCAACACGTTGACATAAAAGGCTTCACATGCCCATTGAGAATCTGTAGGTTTAATCAATCATTGAGATAAAAGCTAAGTACATTCTTGTTGGGCTAGGCTGAGATGTTTTGCTGATATGCCTGAATGACTAGCTTTAGTGGGATTGATATCTTCGCTCTTGATGAATGGAAGATGGATAAAGAAATCAGATTCTTCCATAATGGATGAGCACATTTAGTGAGAAAATCTGCATGAGAATCTGCACAAGAGCGGGAAATAAGCTGGGTTTTGATATGCTCAAGAGGATTGCCTTCAATCTGGAATAAATTAGGCTGAGTGGTCCAGGATTGGAAAAACATCTTGTACCAAACACTATCAAGGAGGATTCTAAGTTTATTGAGTTTATAATAAACATCAAAACCTAGAACCATATTTTTGTCAGGTAAATCGGAACCAAGAACTTTATGAAAAATAAAACATCTTGAAAAAATTGGATTTAATGGGTTTGCTGATCAGATGAGCAGTAAAAGTGTCACTATTAGCAGTGTAGAAAACTTCCTAATGAGATTTCCACTGAGAGGATGGGAGGATCTTAGGGTTGATAATAGTACGAGTAGCACTAGTATCAAAAAATGCTATGACTGAAATGGGATTGGAATATTTAGTGGGGAAGATTTGAACTTTTGCTGTAGGTACATGACATGAGAAGGCTAATGATGGAAGAGATTGTGGTATTTGTTGGATATGGTAGAAATAGTGACAATCATCTAAATCAGAGAACTCAGTATCAGTGGCTGCAAACTGAAAAATAGTGTCTGAAATGGGTTCTTCATCCATTGAAAACCAACGTTCAACATCATCATCAGAAAAATCTATATTAGTGAGCTGAGAAAGCTGTTGCATCATTTTGGTTGTCTGTTTGGGCTTGTTTGGACAATTTTTGGCGAAATGACCAGGGCGGTTGCACAAATAACATCGATTAGACCGTTTGCCTCTGCGTTTCTTTTTTCGAAAAAACTTGCGGTGCTTGAAACATCAAAAGTGGCACCTGGCAAGAGCATTAGGTAGAAAAAACTTGATGCGTCGAAAATGAAATTTCTTCATGGTAGGACAAGCACATGAGCAATCTAATTTGCACTTGATCTGCAAGTCTGGTCTCTGACAAACCTTTGTCAGCTGCTTAGAACGCTTCAGATAATCGTCAAAAAATTGTTTGTTTTGGGACTGCATAAGCTTGGTTGCTTCATGACTTAAGAATTCTAGAATAGATGCTAAAAATGCTTGTTTCATGTTAGGATCATCCATACCCCTAAGTATATGCCTGTCAAGATCTTTCTTTTTGAGAAACAACATCGTATCTTAAAATATTATTCTCTAACTTGATTCTCATAAAGGTGAGGTAGCCCACAAAATTTATCATAAAGGAGATACAAAACTTGATTAATATCTGACATTTGGATGAACAAATTTTGTCTGTACTCTTGAAGACTTATCTACCAATTACGAAGAATACCACCAAATTTAGTTGTAAACTGCGTAAATACAATAGAGACTTGGGCATTAGATTTAAGCATATCAGCTTGTAATCAAACTTGAAATTCATACATTCGAGTTCAAAGAATAATTAATTAATTACACGGGAACATTTTAAAACCAGATTAGCCCAAAAGTACACGCCAGTACGCGACGACAAGCAATAGGCTTAAATATTAAGTCCGTCCCTTTGTCAACCTGTCTTTGTAACTGAGGTGCAGAAAAAGAAGAATTATCAGTCATGACTTGGTTTGCCATCTACTCACTGGATGGTCTGTCTATTTTTTAATAGCCATCCTGCTGCACATTTCAATTGAAATTTATACATGGAATGACACACAAAAACTGTTTTTAGACAAAACTGCTTAAATTTATCTATTGTTCTTTGGACAAAACCCCCTTCTGTCACTGCAAACAGGGAACAAGAAGTGCTCTTTAGCCACCCTCAAATTACGTTAGAATCTCAATCCAGCAGGCTTCTACCTCTCTTTATCTACTTTGCAAGTCTCAAACTCTTTCCCAGCTAAAAAGTCTCTGTATCACCCATACTGTAAAGACTTCTTCCTCATAGAGCTTCAGGGTAAAACATGTATTCACTTTTTATGCCATGCTGATGCTCTATGGGTTCTTCCCAGAGAAGCTCCTCAAAGATAAATCAGTTTGAAATTCCAAAATATAAGTCTAGGAGGTCAGGCTTTACACATGCAAGGAGTCAGAGGGTTCTCCCAAAGGTCATAGTTAGGGAAGGTCTCTTCCGGCAATCCAGTCCTTGTCTGATGGGTGACAACTACATCCTCTACAAAAGTGGCCCAACCCATATAGGGGTCCCCAAAAGATTTTGACATAAGTCCCTTGTCTGGTTTTATGGATTTATAACGGTGACCCATGTACCTGCGTGCCCCAATTATCAACTTAGCGAAGTTACCACCATGGGTCATAACAAACACATCAGACTTCAAGCAGACCAGGAAGTCGAGGGCTGCCAAGCTTGTTACATGCTTCCTGAAACCAGCTAACTCCTCCTTGCTTGCTAATTCCTCCTTTGTAACCTGTCATTAAAGCTTGTCATGAAACATCAACTTCAACAAAGATAAGACATTACAAACACTCTCCAGTCAGTCAAGTCCACATTTATCGTCGCCGCCAATAAACAATTTAGCTTACTACATGTCTTCAAGAGTGCCTTACAATTCCCATTTCTTAAAAAATGACACATAAAACCATGTTCAAAATAACTTTTTCAAATATGTGCATATATAAGCATGCATACATGTACAATTGTACATTTATGATAACTAGCCAATCTTCTCCTTTTATTGTTATTTTGAGATGTGTAGAGTGATTAGAAATCTTTTTTTTTTTTTTAATAATATTGTTGGCAGTATGCCATTCTGGACGAATTTTCTAGTTTCTACAATTGTTTTTCAACAGAATGGCATTACTCTTATACATGATGGCACTAAGAGGACAACAGAAGAGCAGCAAATTTCCTCCAAAAGAAAATGTCACAAAGATGAGATCACGTAAGAAAATATCTGTACCCAGCCAATCAAATTAACTTTCTAACAGAAGAGAAGTGTGGGAAAGACTTTTGACAATAACATATCGATTAGCATTTAAAATGAAGAAGCTCTAGTCATGCCATTTTATTCCGTGATTTGTATCCAGAAAATTGCATAAGAAACAGATTTTAAGGTCTTACCAGATTCGGGAACATGTTCCTCAGTGGTGCCATCCGGTTTTGGCCACCATAAACTTGACCAGACGCAACATAAATTTGAGTTTCTTTGGGATATCCCATTGCACGAAGAATCACAGCCACTTCCCCAGGCTCAAGAGGACATCGTCCTTCCTTGCGCTTCTGCAGGGCCAATTGCCATAAATGGGAACCATTCTGCAAACCATATCACCACAAAGGTACCACATATTATAAAATTTATTTTAGGCTCTAATTAAATCCAAAAATACCGACTGATCATATTATTCTAAGTCACCTTATAGCGTCGAGGCCATTCTTTTTTTCTATATTCAGCCATTTTAGCCTTCTCTTCCCTTGTCCCCACAAAATCACAGAATGATAAGCCCACCATCCCTTTCTCAAACCTAAGATGCAGAGCCCTGTGTAAGAGAACATTGTTAGTACTGTTGAAATCAAGGGTAATAACTCAGAACATGATTCAGCAAAATTTCAGATACCAAAATCACATACATATAAGGATTTGAACTGCCAGTGCGATTTCGCATCCTTGATACTAAAGAATCAGCCATCTGCTCTATCTCCGGAAGAAATTTCAGAGCATGATAATTTACTCTGCACCTAAGCCTGTTGATTTCTGGGGGAACATTATCATACCTGGAAAACCAAAACGTATACAATAACAATTCAATCCTAATTTTATTCAAATGAAAAAAATATATATATATATTAGTCAAGTAGTAAGTGAATGTAAAGTACTCATAACTTACCCAAGCCGATCAACAAAGGGTTTTAGGGCCATTATCTTCTTCTCCTTGATTCGAGGTAGTACATTATCAATGTAAAATTGGGCAGGAGCATACTTGGGAATGTTTTTTACAGTCCGTCTAGAGAACACATAAAAAGAAAAGATGAAATCAATACAATTGCAACCACTCAAAATTCAGAAAAAGATAAGGTACAATATAAATTTATTGGTTCTATATTTCAATAATACTTCACATCCAAAAAGATTTCATACCAATATCTATTAAAGTAGAAAGTGTGCCCATATATCTGAAAAGTCCTTGTGAAAATTTAAGATAAGTCAAACATAGTTTAGATAGGAACAACTGTTTGGAATAGGCATGACAAACTCTAGATTCCTATTATTCATTTTATCCACCCATTTACTAGCCAATTTGCTTCCCATTAATCCCTATTTTATCATAGCTATGTGATCACTGTTTCTCAAAGCACTTCACAATCAAAATAAAAAACCAGGCAGATTAACCTAGCCCTTCACCTAAATCAGCCCATGGCTATAACAAACAAGTAAACCTCATTCCTGCACCCTTTTCTATATTTACTGGTAAGGAATGAAATAATCAAAGAAGCAATGCATCTTGGATTGTCACTAAAAGGCTTGGTTCAACCGAGAATATTGACGTGTTTCTGAAAGTCTCTGAATAGAATGGTCACTGCTCCTCAAGGCTTTAGTTCTCATGGTGGTTTTCTAGTCCACTTTTGTAACTTCATCTTATTTTCACTATATATATATAGGACTTCGTTTTTAATAAAACTAAATGAATTAATAGAGGAAGACATCAAACCTTATGCTTGAGAATAATTCTGATTTGTCAGTAAACCAATCAGGGATATCACGAACAATTCGCACATCATCCTTTAAGTAATCAATGAAATGATCAACATCAAAGATGTCTTCAAATTTCCTGCCAACATATTTAAAATATTATTTAAAAGAAAACACAGTCATACAAACATTTGAAACGAGATTATATAAAGCAATCCCATATCAACTATCAACGTTAACCCTATGAACCAAGACACAAAAGAATATGATGAGCAACCAAGGGGAAAGGTTTACTGTAGGAAGAAGTGGAGTAAGAAGCAGGGGAATAATTGACAGTTAGGAGGTTAGAAGAATTTGTTATGAGGGGACAGGTGGCATATGGAGATTTGAGAGAGAGAAATTCTGTTAGGAGTAAAACTGGATACCATGAGAGAATAAAAGGGGGAGAGAGGAAAAGGGAGGTATTGAGAAAGTTGTTAAGGATTGGGAAGGGAGGTGACTGACCCTCGAAGTTCAGTCTTATCATTTTGTTTATCTTTTGTTCTTAGCTTTATTTGCTGGATTCTCAATTGTTGATTGTTGATTGAACAGAGTCTGGATATCATATTTCGGATGTACTGTTTTGCTGCCATTAATATAGAGATTCCTTGTGTTTATTGTGTTGGGATTGGATCTGTATCTAGATTGTAGTGTGTTTCATAAAGTTGCAGGTCAGGATCTCATCAAGTGGTATCAGAGCAGTGAGTTCTGGCTATGGCCTTGACAAGAATGGAGTCTAGAATTGATAACGTGAAAAAAGAAGTTACGAAGTTAGGAGTTGAGATGGGTACCATTCGAGAATGTTTGGTTGAGATACAGTCATGGGTGCGAAGAAAGGATGAGGAAGAAGCAGGGAGAACTGAGATGCATCCATTAGAAACTCTTTGGTCTCATCAGGAAGAAAATACAAATGGAGCAAACGGGTCTGGCGACAGTAACCAGAACTGTAATGAAGTGACAGGAAGGAAGTTGGAAATGCCGATATTCTCCGGTGAAGATCCTTATGGATGGATCTTTAGAGTAGAGCGCTACTTCCACCTTAATGGAATAAATGAGGAAGGAAAAATGACAGCAGCAGCTGTCTGTATGGAAGGTGAAGCAATTAATTGGTTCCAGTAGATGGAATCCAGAGCTCCGGCAAGTTCATGGGCTATGTTTAAACTGGCACTACTCCAAAGATTCAGTGGGTCTCAAGAGCTCAACCCGTATGAATCATTAATGGCCATGAAGCAGACTGGTTCAGTTATGGAGTTTCGACGTCAATTTGAAGCTGTCGCGGCATTGTTGGTAGGGGAGAGGGAAGAGATACTACAGACAGCCTTTATCAATGGATTAAAAATTGAAGTACGTTTAGCCCAGCCCACAACCTTAATGCAAATAATAGATCTGGCCCAACGATTTGAAGAAAGGAATCAAGCAATAGAGGAGGCCCAAATGGGAACAATTAAACCCACACGCATTATGGGGCTTGGACCTTCAAATGGACCCAGACCCACGACCCGATTAGATAGCCCTAACTTGACCCGATTTGAAAACAACTTGAACCCAAAATTTCCTAACACAAACAGATTCGAAAATCACCCAAACACAAAATTTCCTAACACATTCGAAACCCTAAAATCACACCAATCTTCCAACTTCAGTCGACGATCGCCGGAAATGTCAGTACAGGGTTCATCGACGCAGTTCTCCAATCGCGACTACAACCCATCGAATTTTCGCCCCTATGAACGACCTAACTTCCAGAGAAGAGAATTCCCATTTTGAAAAATGACCGACGCAGAGATCCAAAGGAAAAAGGAGAAAGGGCTTTGCTTCAGATGTGATGGTAAGTTCTCGTTTGGTCACAAATGTGGTGAGAAGCAATTTCAGATCATTTTAGTGGATGAAGAGGAGAATGATTCAGACCCGATTGGTGGTGGGGAGTCTGTAGAAGCTGAAATAGAACAACGACAGGAACAAGTTGAGCTTTCTCTGAGCTCGGTGGTGGGGATTCATGGCCCAAAAACAATGAAACTCAAAGGAAGAATCCAAGGTAAGGAACTAATGGTATTGATTGATAGTGGGGCTTCCCACAATTTTATTAGTTCAAAGGTGGTTACAGGCTTGGGAATTTCTGTGATGGGAACTCAGTCTTTTGGGGTTAGAGTAGGTTATGGATATAGCGTGAGATGTGAAGGGGAATGTAAAAATGTTTGTATGGAACTATAAGGGATAACGATTACTCAGAATTTTTTTCCATTTGATATGAGCAGTGCGGATGTTGTTCTGGGAATTGCATGGTTGGAAACGTTAGGGGAAACCATCACAGATTGGAGGAAGCAGATTATGAGATTTAAGCTGGACGATCAGATTGTATGTCTGCGTGGGGATCCATCTCTGAATAAGACCATGGTTTCGCTCAACGCTATGATCAAGGCTTTAAGGACGAAGGGACAAGGGTGTTTGATAGAGTTCGGTCAGATTCAGAAACAGTGTGATGACAGTGGGGATGTGGATGATCGGGTAATGGAGGTGTTACAGATATTTAGTCAAGTGTTTGAGCCACTTTCCGGGTTACCACCTGCCAGGTCCAGAGACCACACAATTCAGTTAGTACCAGGGGCTCAACCACCCAACCTGCGGCCTTATCGGTACCCTTACTATCAGAAGAACGAAATCGAATGCCTCGTCAAAGAAATGTTGGCGTCAGGAATTATTAAACCCAGTATTAGCCCCTTCTCAAGTCCGGTTTTGTTGGTTAAAAAAAAAGATGGAGGGTGGAGATTCTGTGTGGATTATAGGCCAGTTAACCAGGTAACCATCCCGGAAAAGTTCACCATTCCAGCATTGATGAATTATTTGATGAATTGGCAGGCGCGACAGTGTTTTCGAAACTGGATTTGAAGTCCGGTTATCACCAAATCCGAGTGCACCCAGAGGATACACACAAAACTGCCTTCCGGACGCATGAAGGGCACTATGAGTTTGTGGTAATGCCATTCGGCCTCACCAATGCACCGGCTACTTTCCAAGCAGTGATGAATGACGTGTTTAAACCGTATTTACGAAAATTTCTGCTGGTTTTCTTTGATGATATACTAATATATAGTAAGGAGATGGGCGACCATGTGAAGCACCTCAGCCTTACTCTGCAGATTCTTTTGGACAATCAATTGGTGGTCAATAAAAAAAAATGTAAGTTTGGGCAGTCACAGTTGAGTACTTGGGGCATGTGGTCTCAGCCCAGGGTGTTTCGGTTGATCCGTCTAAGATTGAGAGTATCACTAGATGGCCGGAATCGAGAGATGTTAGGGCACTCAGAGGGTTTTTAGGATTGACGGGGTATTATCGTCGATTCGTTCGTGATTACGAAAAAATAGCTCTACCACTTACTGCACTATTAAAGAAGGATTCGTTTGTGTGGAATATAGCAGCCCAAAGGGCTTTTGAGGAATTAAAACGAATCATGACCAGTGTTCCTATTCTTCGGATGCCGAACTTTACGCAAGAATTTGTCCTGGAAACCGACGCTTCTAGAAGTGGATTAGGGGCTGTACTGATGCAAGAAGGACGCCCGATTGCTTTTCTCAGCAAAGGTTTGTCCTTAAACTCTAAGATGAAGTCAGTTTATGAAAGAGAATTAATGGCGATTGTCCTGGCTGTGCAAAAGTGGCGGAATTACTTGTTGGATAGACGTTTTGTGATTCGGACGGACCAGCGTAGTCTTCACTTCCTCACTGAGCAGAAATTATTAAGTGAAAATCAGCAAAAATGGGTTATCAAATTGTTGGGGTTAGACTTCATCATTCAGTATAAACCAGGCGCTCAGAACAAGGCAGCAGATGCCCTTTCACAGATGCCAGACACAGTAGAACTTAAAGCTGTTTCTGTGAGTTACTTTTCGGGACTGGAGGGTTTGGAAGATGCCGTCCAAGGTGATGATAAGTTACGGGGCTTAATACAACAACTCTTGATAGACCCCAATAGTCACCCTCCTTTCAGGCTACTGGGCCGCCATCTGCTGTACCACAACAGATTGGTACTGTCGAAATCTGGACCTCACATCCAGCAAATTTTACAAGAATTCCATGCATCGCCCATCGGGGGCCATTCGGGTTTCTTTCAGACATATAAACGGCTAACAAGTGTGGTATTTTGGGAAGGGATGAAGAATGATATCAAAGCATTTGTGGCTGCTTGCCAGGTTTGCCAACAAAATAAGTATGATGGCCTGAGTCCAGCGGGTTTGCTTCAGCCGCTGCCGATTCCTACCAAAGTATGGGAAGACGTCTCTATGGATTTCATCATGGGGCTGCCGAAAGCTAAGGGGGTTGATACCATTTTGGTCGTAGTAGATCGTTTGACTAAATATAGTCACTTTTTAACCCTCAAACACCCCTACACAGCCAAAATAGTCGCCTATTTGTTTATCACAGAGGTGGTTCGACTACACGGGTTCCCTCGTACCATTGTTTCTGATCGGGATAGAGTCTTCATGAGTAACTTTTGGAATGAAATGTTTAAACAATCTGGGACCCAATTACACATGAGTTCGGCGTACCACCCACAGACGGATGGTCAAACAGAGGTTGTAAACCGTTGCTTGGAAACGTATCTCAGATGTTTTGTCAATGGTCCCGTTCATGGCCAAAATGGGTTCCATGGGCAGAATTTTGGTTCAACACTACGTATAACCGCTCCACCGGCATGTGTCCTTTTAAGGCACTTTATGGCCGAGAACACCCAACAGTGTTGCGTTATTCAGACCACACTTCTGTTGTCAACGAAGTTGACCAGCAGCTCCAGCAGCGCAACCAGATTCTTGACGAGTTAAAAGACCATCTCCTCAAGGCCCAACATCGCATGAAAACTTCAGCGGATAGTCATCGCCGAGAAGTTACTTTTGAGGTAAGGGAATCTGTGTACTTAAAGTTACAGCCATATAGATTAAGGTCCCTAGCCCATCGATATAATGAGAAGCTCAATCCACGGTTTTATGGTCCATTTGTTATCACGGCAAAAATTGGGGTAGTCGCATATAGGCTGGCACTACCATCCTCGGCACGTATTCATGACGTCTTTCATGTGTCGCAACTTAAAAAAGCTATGTTCCCTATCACCAATAGTCAACCTTTACCAACAGGCCTCAATGAAGACCTTAGTCTCCAACTTGAACCTGAAGCTGTTCTCCAGAAAAGGAAACTCATAAATGGACAGTGGGAGGTGCTGATTCAGTGGAAAGATTTACCTTCCTTTGAAAATACTTGGGAAGATTTTGACACTATTCTCAGCCAGTTTCCTTCATTCCACCTTGAGGACAAGGTGGTTCTACTTGGGGAGGGTAATGATGAGCAACCAAAGGGAAAGGTTTACTGTAGGAAGAAGTGGAGTAAGAAGCAGGGGAATAATTGACAGTTAGGAGGTTAGAAGAATTTGTTATGAGGGGGCAGGTGGCATGTGGAGATTGGAGAGAGAGAAATTCTGTTAGGAGTATTGAGAATAAAAGGAGGAGAGGGAAAAAGGGAAGTATTGAGAAAGTTGTTAAGGATTGGGAAGGGAGGTGACTGACCCTCGAAGTTCAGTCTTATCATTTTGTTTATCTTTTGTTCTTAGCTTTATTTGCTGCATTCTCAATTGTTGATTGTTGATTGAACAGAGTCTGGATGTCATATTTCGGATGTACTGTTTGCTGCAATTAATATAGAGATTTCTTGTGTTTACTGTGTTGGGATTGGATCTGTATCTAGATTGTAGTGTGTTTCATTAAGTTGCAGGTCAAGATCTCATCTCCATACAATTATATATTTCTTAAACTTCCCCACTACCTTAATCATGGATCTTCGCAACTTTTTTTTAATATTCATTGTACCTTCCTCAGCATTTATTATATCCAAAATCTATAAATAATTAAATAAAACACCTGGGATTAAGTCTGAGCTAAATCAGTGCCAGCTACGATCAAATTTACCCAAATCACAATTAAAGGTTTTTTTCCTTTGAGGGTTTCCATGAAATTAAATGGTCGGTTCTCGATGACTACAGGAAGAACACAAGGACAAGAAATCTACGAAAGTGAGAATCTCATACAATTACAGAGGCCCAGACAACATAAAGAGAGCATACCTGGTTGTAATTTACAAGAGGCTCCTCAAAACTTGGTGCTGAGGGGGTAATGAACTTAGGACATGCATACGAGAAGAGTTCATCGTAGATAGAAAATGCCTCATCATCATATCTTTGCATTCTGATCATCTTCTCCCCATATTTCTCCCTTAGTTGTGAGTTCACAGTCTCCTCTACAAGCTTCACTTGGGGGCAAAGGGAAAGACAAATTGCCAACAGAGCATACATCTGCTCATTCTTCTTTAGAATCTGCTCATACTGTGGAGATTTCTGATGAAATTGCTTGGTCTTGTAAATGTACAAGAGAATCTTATTGAATTCACGAATGGCATCCACATACCTTCAGAAAAACTAACAAGTATCATTGAATTCCACTAACACGGGGAAAACCAAAACAAAGATCAAGAGGTATATCAATTTCCATCAAGACAGTAGAAAAACAAGGTCAATACTTTGAAATTTGTGTGTGTGTGCGTGCCTTGGAGGAGGCTGTGATGTGACCTAAAAACCAGTCCTATAACAAATCCCAGGAACATTTTTTTAATGATCTATTCACCTTCCATCCTCTGCACATGGATTCTAGCCGTATCAGGTGGTTTACTCATCTGTAAGCTAGTAAGACTATTTTTTATTAAAAAATTACTGAATTAAGACACTTGGAAAATGCATTCTTAGCTATTACACCTAAATTAAGGAACAAAAACAGAAAGATAGATGTTAAACCCCACACATAAAAGCTTGTAAAACACAACCGTGTCAATGCAGGAGACAAACATACCTGCGCAACATAAGATTGGCGAACCCATAATGATATATTGTAGTAATGTGACTTCCTATAACACTGGTGTAAACACCTTGTTGTGTAATGTCAATCGGCTGTAAGCACTTGAGACCAGTATGATAATCACCCAGAAGACAATGAACTCGCAGCAAACCCACCATACTGAAATAGCCCAAAACCTTCAACACATTACTCCCTCCATTGTAATCATAACCATCAGTTGCGGTAAATTGCTCAATCCCTTCCTTTTCCTGCTCCAAAATCTGAATGATCATGGACTTCTCCACAAGTGCTTGCAAGAAATTCAGCACCCCATACACATTCCAAGCCTGAATAATAAAATAAACACAAACAAAAAAAATCATGTGACTACATTGATATGGTTAGTTTCTATAAGCAGCCTAATGTATAAAATCTTAAATTGTTCAAATTTCCAACTCATATGAACGAAAAAAAAGGAAATTAAAAAAGCATCAGCAGAAACCTGATCATACTGCCTTAAAAGCGCAATCTCCTGTTCTGTCTTGTTCTTCATCTTGGCCCTATACTGACAGAAACTCTGAAACTGATAAACAAACTCATCCACCATGTCCCACAACCACTGGTTGGGCAATTGCATATTCACCACTCCATGCAACACCACCTGAAACCAAGCACATATAAATAATCAATAAACAACACAGATTGCTTAATTAATTATTGAAAAATCAGTTTGAAAATATAAAAATACCTGAAACAGGCTACAATAGTTGTCCCAAGAGTCAATCCTCTGCTTAAGAGTGGGTGATAATCTGGCGTACAGGTGGCGGAACCACATCTCTCGATAAAGAAGGCAAAAGACGTGATCGTTGTCGACGTAATTGGCAACGGCGTCAACGGAGGGCCATGGTGTATCCTTGAAGAGACGGTCGGAGAGACTCTGGAAGGACGTCTCGTACATCTGGTGGATCTCGTACACATTCTTCTCACGAATGTGGCGGTACAGGTGAACCACGAACGTCTTAACGGAGTCAGGTACGAAGTTTGGATCATAGGCAAAGTCTTGGGAACCGCGAGCATCAGCTGCTCCTTCGTAATCGCCCGGGGCGTCGTCGTAGCCGTAGCCAGTTGCCATCGTTAGTTAGATAGTTTCTGCTGCCCACAAATTATGTTATATGATGAGAGATTACAGGTTTGTTTTCTTTAATTTTTCTCCTTTGAATGCGAGAGGTGAAGAATCTCAGGGAGATTTGAGTTTGAGTGGAAACTGAAGAGCAAGAGAGGTACTAGGGTTTACCATTGGATTGATGGATTCGGATACATATGGGCTTTAGACTCATTTTTTGGGCTCTAAAGATTAAACCCAATGAGCTTTGGACACATTTGTGGATCAATAGGCTACAAGATGGGCTTTGAATTCATTTGTGTATCACCTAATGGGCTTTTTACTTGTTTGTGGATTACCCAATGGGCTTTTGACTCATCTGTGGGTTACACCAAATGGGCTTTAGACTCATTCGTGGCTCAATTAACCCAATTGTAGGTATTTTTATCTTCAACTTGCATATATACTACGTTATGTACAGGAGAAAGTTGGGATATTTCAAGTTATAATGCCTGAAACCCAACCCAAGCCAAGTGTACATTCCAAGTGCAATAACAGAAAGATTGTTATTTATATTACTTTATGCTAGCTGCTAGCACTAATCCAATTTGTTAGGCACTAATTAAAATCATATCAATAGGATTAATCTTATAAGAAACGTTGAAAATTTGAAGAATAAACGAATACAAAAGTAATGGGTGCGTTTGATTTATTATTTCATAACTTATTCCCAAAATATTTGCTTGTTTAATTATTTTGGAAATAATATTATATTTTTTTAACTACTTTTACACCCTTTAAGTTTATTAATTTTATAAATACCCCAGAAAAAAATTTAAAAATTAACAAAAATACCCCCACCCACCCATAATTGTCAGATTCCGGCAACCACCGTTGGTGGTAGCCGGAATCTGTCACAACGGCCTACAAACGACCAGAACTGATCAGTAATTCGTCGATCTAGCCTTTTGCAACCGTGGACAGCCAGATCGACGCACATCCGACCAGATCAAATCGATCTACGTCGTAACGCCAGATTCTGACAGTGATAGCCAAAATCTGGCATGTGGGTAAGTGGAAGTGTTTTTGTCATTTTATAAAACTTTTATATATTGAAGTGTTTAATTAAATTAGTAAACCTAGTGAATTTTTTTTGTTAATTTTTAAATTTTACCTCATAATAATTACCCTATTCAACTATCCAATATTATTTTTAAAATCCTATCCAAAATAACAAACCAAACGGTCCCAATATGTCTGCCAATAACATGTCAAACCAACTAATTTTAGCCCACCGTCGAAAGTCACAGCAGCAGCAGCACCAGCATCTTAAGAAGTTTATTTCGTTATACGAAGTTAAGGCAGAATTAAAAAAAAAAATGAAAGTTAAAAGGAAAAACAGAGCATATTTTTATCCGTCATCAGTGAATTTTAGAATTAAGTACAAAAGCTATGCCTAAAAAAGAAATAAAAAAGCACTAAATGCCCGAATCTTCACAATGAAGGGACACTATGGTAAACTATTCACAAACTATGAAGATAACTAAAGACGATCAACCCACAAAGTTTTGAAACTTTAGAATTAGCACTGATTAGTGTTACAGTATCAGTCAAACCATGACTAAGCTAATGCTTTGATCCAAAATTGCAGTCCGCCCTCTTCTGACGCTGAAATCGTGGAAGATTTGCCAAGGACTTGTCCTCCAGAATGCTAGACTAAATATCACAGTCTTAGCCTGTTAGAAGCATTACGACCAAGTTGAGGTGGCACTTCCTGATAACCCTCAGGTTCATCTTCTTCATCAGAGGATAAGAAAGATGATCCCATCCATGCCTTAAAACCTTCATTAACACGATGTTCAACCTCTGGTGTGACTTCCAAGGGATTTGCTTCCAACATTTCCAAACCAAGGTTCCGACCACCAAAGTCACCTTCATCAAGAACTACAGCTGCTTTTCTTCTTAGAAAGAAGGCAGTTCCTGCATATAAAATGACCAGGCCCCAAGATGCAATCTCATAGCACCAAAACAGAGGTACAGAGCAGCTACTCCCTAGTGTCAAGAGGCTTGAACCGAGAAACAATGCAAGAAGACCAAAGATGATCGCGAAGACAGCATTCAGAATGGATAGACAACGAACACCACCTAAATGATAATAAGAAAGTTAGATATGATGCACCTGGAGAGGTAGTCATGCAAATCACTGCAATAGCCAGTCTAACAAGCAAACACATATCATTCTACGAGCATTGAGAAATTGTATTTTAAAAACAAGAAACAGCAACAAGCTTATGCTTTTTTGTCCTCAATGAGGTATAGGAAGCACTAGAAACATGTTGAAAAGGGCATATCGCCTTGTAAGTGAGCTGGGAACAACCGTGCTAGCTGTTGAGCTCATATTCCATATTCAAAACAATTCTAGTCTAAATGTTTAAAGGAGTTATGAGAGAGAATAGGGATAAAGGCCGCACATCAATCCATAAAACACAACCACCAATTAATTCCCTCCAACTTAACTCTAGTGAAGCTCCTTACAGAGGATGCAATTTAATCATTGCACTAGGGGCATGTCAAGAAAAATGGTCATAGTAAACCCGAATGGTTCCAGTCTTTTGGGGAACAAAACTATATATGTCCTTGCCAATTCTTCTAATCCATTTCTTATTCACCTTTGTCTAACTGTGAAGCCAGTTGTCATTATATTGAAGGACATTATGCAAAAGCAGCCAACCATACACAGTTCTTCCCTTAATTTACTACAAAATAACTGAGTACCACAACACTGTGCATTAAGTAGGCATTCATTATTATTTGAATAGCCAAAATTCTAGCAAATACCTAATTAATACTAAACTTCTAACACCAACAGGTTAAAAGATTCAGTTGCAGGACATACCTCTTTTTGAAGCACAATAATTGTTTTCAACCACCTTTAAGCATCCATGTCTTTTTGGAGCAGTGTATGCAACAATAATTCCTGCATCATGGCTAAAACCATGAGAACGGAGAAGCCAAAAAGCATGTTCAGAACAAGAATCAAACCCAATGGCTAAACTAAGATCACTATATGCTCATGAAACGTGTGCCCAACAGCTCAGGTATCACACACTATCAAAAGGAAAGGGTTAAATAAAAGCATGTGTCAAATTATTAAGCTGTAAAAGCGTTAAAAAATTGAATGAACTGATTATCATATATTTACACTTCCACCAGGCAATGTATCACAAAATTTGTATCTACATTCAGAGGATTATCTTCAGCCAACAACAATCAATTTTTGGATTTGGGGGGAAGGGACAAAATCTAAAATTTTCAATACCATGTATTAGCTCAACATATGTATCTGGGACATAACAAAAAATGCACATTGCTAGTTATATAAGCTTAACATTACCCAAACAAACTGCCTGCAAACCTCACATTCATTTTCCCCCAGAGCCAAAAGAAAAGGAGCCTCACTCTCACTGATCAATACCACTCACAAGCACAATCTACCTTATCCAAGCATTTTCCCATAAATGAATCGGTTGAATATTTCAGTATATCTATTGCCCCAATATTCCAAGCTGCATAGCATCTGGCTAGGCCATGTTAAAACTTTCCAGTCAATTCACTGACCCATAATCATGACAGTTCGGAATATGAACAAAAAAGTTGAAAACTCTTCTATCAGATCTGTTTTAAATAGGGGACAAAAGTACTCGTGTTCATGTCTGAGATTGGCATCATCAAACAAAATTCTCTGCATTAATTTCATTTTATCAACATAATTTTTTATTTTCTATCTCCTAACTACGAGCAACCTGACATACGATAAGAAATCAACTTTCAGCAAATCAGTAAAACAATCAAAATCTATCATATGCTTCAAATGCTTTGACAGAAATGAGAAATACATATCCAACTCATTTACTTAAAATTCATACATGTCAACTACCATAAATAAACAAGAAGAAAGAACCTTTCTTTTGGTTTTAATTCTTTACCTGACACGAGATATGCAACAGAAGCCAAGAAGATAATGAAGGAAGGAATAAAGACAACCATCCAATAATAATCAGCAGTCTCTTGATCCGTCAGATAAAACGCTCCCGGAAACAGATCCGAATCCCCTCCGCCTTTCGCGTTAACTGGCAATGGCTGTAGCCTCAAGTCTCCACAAAATGGCCTCTTTCCATAATCGCTAGGAAACACAATTTTCAAACTCACAACAGTACATACCAAAATTACAACGCAAATCAACGTCACAAACGAAATCAAGAACGGTCTTTGAAGTTTAAACCATGCTCTGTCCTCCTCTCGCAGGCTCTCGTACTCATGCTTTGGCATGAACGCTTGCCGCAGCGCGTCGCCAAATATCGCCATTGAATATCGAGAATTAGGTCAAGACTGAATATCGTGTTCAACAACGAGCAAATGAATTAGTTTCGGTAACCCTAATTGCAGCAAGTTGTATCAAGAACTGCACATGATCTTAAAACCATTAAATCGAACCAATTTGTTACCTAACTTTTGAGAGTTTGGAATCTAGGGTTTTGAGATTGGAAATTCAGTAGGTTTTAAGTTTAACTTCTAAAGAAAGATAAAGGCGGTCACGCTGCAGTGTTGTTTTCAATTCTTGCAGTAACTAACACGCATTTCCTGGGACTTGGGTTGGTTGGGTTGGGTTGGCGGGGCAAGCTTTCGCGTGCAGTGGCGCGTATAATGGCTAACCGTACGATTCATGAAGCTCTTGGCGTCGTGCGTCGTGCCATTTAAGCAGTAAGCAGTAAGCCGTAAGCAAGATTTTAAGGGCTTTTAAATCACAAAATACAAACCTTAACGGAATAATTTTATCATTAACGATGGAGGAAAATATAAAATAAAATATTTTTTAATATTATCATATAATTCCCTGTTAATTATAATTATAATTATTTATTAATGTTGACTAATTTCCCATATTTGAATTTTATCAATATGGATACCGGATTTAATACCCGTTATTTGTAAAGATAGTAATTCTTATCCCTATAAACTCTCTCATAACTAAAAAAAAGTTTATTCCCCTTCTAGAAAATTTAAAAGACAATTAACTTGTCATAGCAAAAATAGTAAGTTCAAATTAAGCATTATTGAAATCACTTGATCTAATTATATTTGTTATGCCTGGAAAAGTAGGGCTGACGCAAAACCCTGTCAGCGTAAGCAGTCAGAGCTTAGGTAAGTCCTACAGCCATTCAGACGCAGCCACGTCGCACGCTGACGCAAGCGGCATGCTCTTACTAGTGTAGTGGGTGTGCGCCAGGCTGGTGAAAGGCTGGAGAAGATCCACGTGTCCAATCTCTGTAAGAGTCGAGTAAATCACTCGAGCAAGTGAGCAATGGGACGCAAGGAAGGATTTGTACGACAATCTGACCTATTCCCTGATTTAGTAATCATTACCTCAATTCATCCCACTATAAATAGAGAGATCCTCTCCCATTTGTGGGATTAGCTAATTTGCTCTCTAGAATAGCATATATACATACTCTCTCTTGTAATCTCTCATAAGTTAGCTCGTTGAATGAGACTTGACCTCATATAGTAATATGATACCAGTGGACGTAGGATTCGCTTTCTTAAGCATCTGAACCACTTTAAACACTGTTCTTCTTCTTCTATACAGTTCAATACCCCCGTACACGTGTGTCTTCTGAGCCAGCTCAACATGTCCCACGTGCTTTTAGTTGGTGTCAAAATCACGCATCAACAGTTTGACGTTAGAAGGAAGGCCTGATTTAGTATTCGTTCTTCATCAGGAGAATCTCTAACTAATTGGTCCAATAGCAAATGGCTCACCGATTCGAAACTGAGCGACCTAATCATGGTGAGGAAGAGATTCCCCAGCTTCAAGTAGACACTTCATCCGAAGTGCCCCCAGTCCCATAAAATCTCGTGAGGGATATCCCTTCAAGCTCATAGCTTGATCTAGCCGTCATGAGCTACCTGTAGAGGTTCAACAATACTCTTCAAACGGTCAACTAAAGGCTGGACCGCTTAGATTGGGTTGCACCACCCGAATCAAATGAGGCGGTGCCATAGCCAAAAATGCCTACAAGTCGCATGAAAGCGCTAAAAATGGTGATAACCCGTGCTACGCGCACTGCAGCGCGTCAAAGGAAGGGAAAACATGTGGCAAACAACAGGCCTAGAGGCTCTGAAGGATCAGTGAACACCGACTGCATCCTGGGTAGAATACCTGTGGCATGCAGACTCGATGACAAGTCGCGACCCGAGCTGTCCCTTGCCACATCGCACGAGCACTCCCATAAAAGTGCAAGGCAAGGAGATTCCCATTATTGCCACAATGACGACTCCGATCGTCGTCACGCGGGAAGTTCCCACCATTCGCGGGTCGGTTCGCACTACCGCAGAGGTCGTGAAGTTCCACGGACCAGTCAGCGCCATCGCACGGCTTTAGCCAGCGTGTGTTAAGAGCGACCAAAACTGCCGGTCGAGGGGAGGAGGAATCCGACCTTCGGACTTTCCTCAACCGCAACCGCAATCGCGAGGGTCGAACCGACATTGGGGAAAGCAATCTCCAGATGGCTCCGTTGCCTTAGATTGAGGAGCTATAGCGAGCTCTAGATCAGCTAAAGGCTCAGCAAAATGAGCAAGAACAGGTCGCAAAGGCGTCTCCCTTTTCTCCGGCTGTGTTAGCCGCCCCTCTCCCATCCAGATTCAGAATGCCTGATATGCGGGCGTTCGATGGGAACTCTGATCCACAAGATCATTTGTACGAATTCAACGACCTGATGGAACTTTACCAAGTTTCTGACTTGGCAAAATACCGATGCTTGGCAGTAACTCATACGTCTCATGCCAAGCGATGGTTCAGGTCGCTCCTAGTGGGATCGATCCGCTCGTGGAATCAGATGAGTTCGACATTCTTGAGACACTTCCAAGCAAACAGGAAATTCTCAATGCCTTTGAGCTACCTCAGCAACATAAGGTAAGAGAGGGATGAATCCCTCCAATCTTACATCGACAGATTCCACAAAGAGCTCCATAAAGTAGCTCACACTCCCGAAGAGTCCGTTCAGACTCTCATCATCGCGGGAGTTCGTCCACAAAAAGATTTGTGGAAGGAGCTGCAATTAGCGGATGATGTTTCTCTCACCTGCTTCTACAGCTTTATGGAGAAATACCTCCGTATTGAGAACTCTGTAGCAGCGCTCCACTTCCACGACCCCGATCCTTCGGACAGTATGCCAAGTCGAGGGGAAAATATGAAGGTTGATCGTCGATGGGCTAACGATGATCAGCGAAAATGAAAGAAACAGCAGTTTGAGCCCAAGAAGTCTTATGCTCTAGTTCCTCGTCGCGATCGTAACAGGAATCAATATACCCCTTTGAATGCATCTGTCTCGACCATTCTTGACAAGTCAAAAAAGGTCGGCCTGCTCAGAAAACCTAAGCCCATGAAAAACCCTCCTTCAGCTAAAAATAATAAAAAGTACTATCGTTATCATCGGGACAATGGGCATCACACCGATGAGTGCCGAGCTCTCAAGCAGGCAATCGAAGACCTTATCAAGCAGGAGCATTTTAAAGAGTATGTTGATGACTCTGCTCCCGTAAGGGAGAAAAATCGAGAGAAACTGGGCAAGAAACGTCGTGATTGCAAGGGTATCTATAGCATGGGGATAATCTTTGGAGGACCACACCTCAGGGGAAACTCACGAGGTGCCCAAGAAAGATATGCTCACGAAGCCCATCACGACCCTATCCGTGTGATGAACACAACGCAGCGATCATCAAAGGTTCGCAGAGAGGAGGAAATCACCTTCTCCAAAAAAGATGCAGTCATATTGCATCATCCTCATGATGATGCTCTCGTCATCATGCCCCAAATTGGGTGCTACGACGTCCGCAGAATGTTGGTGGATAACGGAAGCGTTGTGAACATCCTGTTCCAGCGAGCTTTCGAAAGAATGAAATTGGATGAGGTCGACCTGAAGCCCGCCTCCATCTCCCTATATGGTTTTACATGGGATCACCTGATCCCCAAGGGAATGATCTCGCTTCCAGTCACGTTGGGTGACTTTGACGAGGTGACCAGGGTCACTGAATTCTTGGTAGTGGACTGCCCCTCCGCTTTCATTGGCATCCTAGGGTGACCTCTACTAAGAAGCTTCAAGGCAGTCACTTTGATCTACCATCTCAAGATGAAGTTCCCCACCCCGACAAAGATATAGGAAGTAAGCAAATCTTAGGGCGCATCTCGCGACTACTATGTAAGGGCAGTGCAGATGGCATGCAAGGGGAAAGGCATCCCTCGTGGCATTCCTGAACAGGCAATGGCGATCAGTCGGATCGAACCACAGCCTAGCCCAACCAAGGACAATATGGATCCCTATATCCAATAATGCCCTTCTAGTGGGCCAGTTGAGGACATATCGTAAGTGTCAGTCAACCAGAACGAGCCGAGCCGAGTGTTGAGGATTGGAAGCAATCTCAACCCCCAGCTCGCTACTGACTTGACTAACTTTCTCAAAGAAAATATTGACATATTTGTATGAACGCATGCTGATATGGTCGGGATCAACCCGGACATCATTTGCCATGCCTTGAACATTGATAGTGAAGCCAGACTGGTCCGTCAGAAAAGAAGAGCAATGGATCCAGAGCGATATGCTGCCTTGAAAATCGAGGTAGATAATCTCCTTCAGAATGGGTCCATCTAGGAAGCGCTCTACTCGAGCTGGGTTGCCAACCCGGTTCTAGTGAAGAAGCCCAACGACAAGGGACCTGTGTTGACTTCACCAACCTCAACAAAGCCTATCCAGAAGACAGTTTTCCCCTACCGAAGATCGACCAGCTCGTTAATGCCACCTCCGGGCATAAGTTGCTAAGTTTTATGGACTCATACTCGGGATACAATCAAATTTTGATGTATGCATCGAACGAAGAGCATACCTCTTTAGTTACCGATCGGGGACTATATTGTTATAGGGTTATGTCTTTCGGCCTGAAAAATGCTAGAGCAACTTACCAGCGGCTGGTTAACCAAATGTTTTCCGAGCAGATCGGGAAGTCGATGGAAGTCTATATTGATGAAATGCTAGTCAAGTCGCATTTCGTTTCAGATCACATAGCGCATCTCGCTGAGATGTTTGACATCCTCCGGAAGTACAAAATGAAGCTTAATCCTTGCAAATGCTCATTCGGAGTATCCTCAGGAAAATTTTTGGGGTAGATGGTTAACCAGAGGGGAATAGAGATCAACCCCAAGAAAATCCAAACTCTCATCGACATGAAAAACCCGACCAACTGAAAACAAGTTCAGAGTCTCAATAGGCGAATAGCAGCACTCAATCGCTTCATATCGAGGGCAATAGATCGCTGCTTGCCATTCTTCAATATACTTAGGGCCAATAAGAAGTTCGAGTGGACTGGAATAGGCATTTCAGAGCATTAAAGAGAACCTCAGAAAACCACCTCTTCTGTCTAAGCCTCTCCCGCTGGAAATTCTCCTGCTGTATCTATCCGTCTCTTAGTAACGGTCAGTGTAGCTTTTGTTCAGGAAGAGAACAAGGTTCAATGGCTAGTTTATTACTTGAGCAAGCGTCTGTTGGATGCCGAGATGCGGTATTCGGAAATGAAGCAATTGGCTTATACCCTACTGATCGC